GCGGCGGTGCAGCAGCTCCCTGGCTGGCTCTGTGGGTGCCCCGCAGCCAGATGTCAGGTTCCCTGATGTGTACGCTGACCCCTGGTGGCTCCCCTCTGCCTGCAGACATCTGAACAGCTTTTGTCCACATCCCAGCCCTGCGTTCCCAGCCCCTCGTGGCAGTGCCTCCCGCTCCTGTCCACTTTGTCTTCCAAAAACCAGCCTTTCAGGCGACTGCCACCTTCACGCACCTCTTGGCAGTAGATGGCAGAGGACGGCCTGAGTTGTTGGCTGGACTTCCTCTTCTGCCAGACCGAGGTTTTTTCGTCGGGAGGACGAGCCTTATCTGTGACCCTTAGCTCCTCCCTGAGGATGAGGGCACTTTGGGGGTCTGTCGGGGTTGTGTCCCCGGCACAATTGACCACCCACGCTCGGTTAACTACAAACAGACACGAGGCGCGCTGGGTTGTCGGTGGGTCCGTGTCTGTGCGCTCAAGGAAGCAGCGGCCTTGGGTCAGTGCTGTTGTCTGAACCCACTTCCTGGGGGAAGCTGTGGCTTATGGTCGCTTGCCCTGTTTTTCCCAACCTTTCTGGAAGTCAGGCAGGCTCCCGTGTCCTTGGTCTCCGAGGCTGCAGCTGCTGTGGTTGTCGGTTGTGCAGGGTGCACGCGGAAGGCTAGTTCGCTGGGGATGCGAGTTCACAGCGGGAACCAGGTTCCTCTCGTGTGGGGCCTCAGGCTCCTGCCCGGCCGTGTTTCCTCCGCCAGAGGTTCATACGCGTGGTCGTGTTAAACTAATGAGGTAGAGGTGTCTTAAGCTCAGTGATGTGTACTTTGTGTTTTCCGCCAACGGGGTGGCTTGTCGGTGGCCCTCTAACCACCTCACAGCCACACACGCAGATCCCGTTGGGTAGACGACCCAGCTCTGACGGACACCGTGTTTCCAGTTCCCCTTTTGTCTTGAAAGCTGTTTGGAGGTACAGTTGACACGTGTTTAAAGAGTAAAGTTGAGGGGCGCCTGGGTGGCTCAGTCGGTTGAGCGTCCGACTTCGGCTCAGCTCATGGTCTCGCAGTTAATGAGTTCGAGCCCCGCGTCGGGTGCTGTGCTGACAGTTCACACCCTGGAGCCTGCTTCAGATTCTGTATCTCTCTCTCTCCCCTTCCCCTGCTCATGCTCCGCTTGTCTCTCAAAAATAAACAAATGTTAAAAAAAAATTAAAAAAAAAAAAAGTGGGGTCCCTGGGTGGCTCAGTCGATTGAGCGTCCAACTTCAGCTCAGGTCATGATCTCGTAGTCCGTGAGTTCGAGCCCCGTGTCGGGCTCTGGGCTGACGGCTCAGAGCCTGGAGCCTGCTTCCGATTCTGTGTCTCCCTCTCTCTCTGCCCCTCCCCTGCTCACGCTGTCTCTCTCTGTCTCAAAAATAAATAAAAACATTAAAAAAAAAAAAAAAAAAAAAAAGTGAAGTTGGCTGCGTTTGGACATGCACGCACCCCGAGGATGCAGCAGCCCCTCAGGTGGCACGCCTCCCTCGCGCCCACCGTTGTCAGGTCCCGGGGCTGTGACGCTGCCGTGGACCTCCCAGGACGGAGGAGCCGCGTGTGCAGAGCGGACAGCCCAGAGACGGGGCTCGTGGCAGGGAGCGTGTACTTTGGGATTCGGTGGGTGTGACCAGTTGCCTCCCAGAGCAGTGCGGGTGCACACCCGCCGGCTGTAGGAGGGGGGCCACGCCGGACGCCTCCGCGGTCATCGCTGCAGTGACAGAAGCCGTGTGTCGTCTCACCTGCGCCTCTCACCTGGTCACTGGAGGGCCTGCTGGCTTTAGGTCCACGGCCTGCGCACCTGTCACCTTCGGTTTGCTGTGGCATCTGCTGCCCTCCCCCGCTGCCGTTTTTGCTTCTTTCTGACATAAAGTTAGAAAAAAACACGTACGTGTAATTGTACAAAACACACGACACACACGTGAACCGCTTGTCGCGGGTGCTGGGGAGGGAGCAGAGCCACACATAACGTCTGCGGGGTAGGGTTGGAGGCGCCCCAGGCTGGTGGACACCAAACTGTGAGAGGCTTCTTCTCGTGCTAGGAGCACCTTCGCCGTGGACGGGAAAGACTGCAGAGTCCACAAAGACGTGGAGCGCGTCCTGAAGGAGTTCCACGAGGCCGGCAAGCCTATCGGGTACGTAGGGGTGGGGAGTGCAGGGCTGCACCGTCCTGAAAGCCTGTTTCGCTGAGGGGTTCACAGGGCGTCCTAGGCACCTTCCAGCTCGGAAAACTCTGTAGTTGTGTGCTTAGGTCAGTATCACTTGGTGACTTTACAGGAAAGAGAGCTTCTGGGAGGTTCCGCAGTCAGTCCTTCCCTGACCGCCAGCCTTTTCCAGTGCTCGTTCTCCTCTCCTGGCCTCTGCCTTCTGTCCTCGCTCCGGGCAGGCTGGAGCCAGTCACACACGAGCACCGTTCCCCAGCACCTTCCTCTGGGCCTGCACGCTCATTGCGTGCTTGGGTCTTTCACACTTGTCTGCACACCCAAACTCACCGGACCTTGCTCTTGTCGAGGTCCGAGGTCCTGGGTCCTGGCAGGTGGTGAGGCCGGCCACCCCTGCCACCGGGAGCATGATGGTGCCCCTGTTGCCAGATCTGAGCCCCTGAGACTCGACTTCCACGGACGCCTGGCCCCTGCTCTGACGAAGGTCGGTGTTTGTCCGTGTCAGTGCGCCGGAGCGTGCAGAGTGCACGGCTTCGGGTCTGCTGGTTGGAGAGACTCCCTCGGGAGCTCTGCGGTGAGAGATGCAGTGAAGACAGCTCATTGTGGTATAGACGGGAGCACTCCAGATCCCCTCTGACATCTGTGTGAACAGGGCTGTGTTAGAACCCTCCCACCTGGATGGGATATAGCGCCTGGCAAGGACAGTCCCCGCCCAGTCACTCTGCGGGAAGCCCCCTCCTCACGAACGGGGCCGGCCTCGGGTCTGCAGGTCGGGAGCTTGTCTGCTCGCACAGTGCCTTCTCAGTCCCGGGCCTGCTCGGAAGAGACAGGCAGCAGGTGACGGCCATGCTCCACGCCTCTCTCTCCCAGAATGCTGTCACTGGAGCGGCACCCACTTCTGTGGGCTGAGCGCTAAGGGGGACCCTAGCACCCGCCCTGCTTGTCATGAGCACAGGTGGAAGCAAGGGGTCCCGGTGGCTCGGCCGCCTGTGTGTATGTCCTCTGACCTCCGTGCAGGAACGGTCCCAGCAGGGGCCTCTGTCCGGAGCACATGGCTTTGGCTTGCTTCGGTGTCCACAGCCCAAGACCAGCACGGCCGACCACACAGACAGCTGCACTTGAGGGCTGATGCCGCCGGGTGTCTGTGCAGGCTCACGACACAAGACACTCTGGAGACACTAGGTCCCGGGACTGTGTCAACTTGGTGGCTGGGGGAAATTTCTGTCCGGGGTTTCTAAGTAGGCGGGTTAGCTGTGGGGTTTGAAGCACTGTGTAAGTTTGTTTTGACGATACTTTTTCGTGGCTTGTTATGATAGCTCCTACGCGGGGCCTTTAAAGGCCGCGCAGGAGAACCAGCTGGGTGCTGTGGAAGATGAGCCAGAGGAGAGGCCTGTGTGGGAACACAGTGGCCCAGAGAGGTCTGGGCGGCGGCTGGAAGGGTTGTGGACCCCGGGTGAGGGGAGGGCAGTCCCCGACAGCCACACGCTGGGGTGGCCCGGCCCGTAGCCGCTATGGTGGATGGCCCGTGTGCCCCCTGAGCGCGCGCTGACACAGGCAGTGTGCCGGTGATGTCTGGTGCCCAGAGGTCTGGTGTGGCTGAACCACCGTGCTCGGGAGCGACTGGTCGGGAGTGCCTCCCGACTGCGGCCCTTAGGGGAGTGAGCGGAAGCTCGTGTCACCTGCGACACCCCTCGCCCCGTTGGCCACGGCCGCCCCGGGCGGCCCGGCTTCCACCTCTCAGCTGCCAGGCCCTCTGGCTAGTGTTGGCACTCATCCTCAAGGTCAGGGAGGTTTGCGTGCCTTGCTGCGCCCCCTGGCCTGGCGTCCACTCGTGTGGTCCCGAGCTGACCCTGTCCTTCACTCTTCAGCTTGTGCTGCATCGCTCCCGTTCTCGCAGCCAAAGTGCTCCGCGGCGTCGAGGTCACCGTGGGCCACGAGCAGGAGGAAGGCGGCAAGTGGCCCTACGCGGGGACCGCAGAGGCCATCAAGGCCCTGGGCGCCAAGCACTGTGTGAAGGGAGTGACCATATCCTTTCTGGCAGCCAGGGTGGCGGTGGCGGTGGCTCCGGGGACCCCTCCTCTGGCTCTTGAACCGGGAGCTGCGCTGCCGGGGGCACCTGGGAGCACATGCGTGACACGTGTAGGGTCTGATGCCGGCACGTGTCCCTCCCTGGCCGTGTTTCCAAGTCGGCCTGGTGGATGCGGGCTGGGTTCGGCACACCCCAGGCACACAGGGCCACCTGGTCAGGCGAGCGGTCGGCCTCAGGCTCGACGGGGATGGCTTTCTGGGTGGGAGGCTGGGAGCTGCCTGCCAGGGAGGGGAGTGAGGTTGCGCCCCAGGGTGGGGTGGAGGCTGCCCGTGGATGGGAGCAGTACCGGGGGGTTTCCTGGCTTTGGTGGAAGTTCCTCTGGTGGTGTGGACCGGAGCCAGCCCAGTGGCCTCATTGGCCCCTGATCCTCCTGCAGGTGCCCGAGCACTGTGCACACAGAGCCTCAGGCCAGGGCTGACCACAACCCAGGTCCACACCTGGACCCAGACCCAAGGAACAGAGCAGCACGGTGTCCCGGAAGGTGCTGGAGACAACACCGTGACCCTGGGTGTCTGTCTCGAAGGTGCTTTTCTCTCCTTGGAGGGCCGTTTGGCTTACAGACAGTTTCGGTTAAGTGCCCACCTCCCTCCTGCGCAGAGTGGCCGGCCCGCCCAGCAGCTGTGTGGGTGGAGCTGGCCCCGGGGCCTTTGGAGTAGGTCCAGGAGGGCACCTTATAGGGAGGGGGCAGGGCCAGTCCCATCAGCGCTTGGCGTCTGCCCGACCAAGGCGAGAGCTCAGCTTGTGTCGGGGGAGAGTCCCGGGTCGGATTGGCCTCTTGTGGCCGACACTCGGAGCGGCTCTCTGTTCCGGTTTCTCAGACGAGGTTGCTGTGGGGCCGGCGCTCCTGTGTGTGCAGCCCAGGTCTGCGGGCGGGCCTGGGTCCCGTGGGGGCCTGCCACCTTGAGGGGTCTGAGGAAACCAGCGCTGGGCTCACTGAGGTCGGGACGCGTGTGCTCTGGTTACGGGGTGTGAGTGGCATGGGACATGGACCCTGGCCGCGGGGACTGCGGCAGGAAGGATCCCCCATTTGGAGCTCCATTGAGAAGGGCAGCGGAGCACACTCTGGGGGTGCGCGGGGGCGGGGGTCAGGGTGGCGCTTCACGCCCGCCACCCCTGTGTCCTTGCCGGGTGACTGTTTTCCGTAACTTCCGTGCACGAAGCTCACGTGGACCAGAAGAACAAGGTGGTCACGACCCCGGCCTTCATGTGCGAGACGGCGCTCCACCACATCCACGACGGGATCGGGGCCATGGTGAAGAAGGTGCTAGAACTCTGTGGGAAGTGACAGCGCCGTGAGCCCCGCCTCGTCCACCAGGTGGAGCTAGTGGCCTGGCTTCCCGTGCTGCCTGCCGTGCGGCAGGAATTCGATTCTCTGCTTGCGTCTATAGGTGCTTTTTGTCTGAAGAGGAACCCTTGGCTGGGGTCGGCGGAGGCAGGCAGGGCCCGCACTGAGCCTGCGGCTGGTGCCTGCTTGGTGCCTGCGGGCGCAGGGGCGGCTGACATCCTCCTGTGACAGAGATTAAAATGGGACCTGCTCTTTCAGGAGAAGAATTGGGGCACAACATCCCACACTCTTAGGTTTGGCTGGCCGTAGGGTCCTTGGTGTCTGGGGGGGAAGAATTTTTAAGTTTGTGGGTCTGGTAATTAGGAAACCACGTCACTGAACTTCTTGGTGATTGAGAACTCTGTAACTTGGAGTAATGCGTTCAGAAATGACACGGGGGCTTCATTTGAGGCCGGGGGAGTTTGCTTTCCCAAATGGACGCCGGGACGGCCGCGTGTCGGGCCTCCTGAAGCTGGCACGCGGGAGCACAAACCAGGGCTCTAGCTTTCCAGAAGGGGGGGGGAGGGTGTGGCAGCCAGTCTGTGTGGTCGGCCTGCTGGGCGGAGACCGTCGGGTTGGTCCCAGGCCACGAGCAACAAACAGCCGGTGTCGGATGTACAGAGCAGGGGCAATAAAGCGTCTTGTAGCCGCACCAGCCGGTGTCTGTCGTGCGTGTGCTTCTGTTTTGGGGAGAAACGTCGAGGGCGGCACCTGAGTACAGGGCAGGCTTCACCCCCTGTGGCACATCCCTCCTTCTGTCTGCCTCCCGTGACCCCCGGGAGGGTGTCCCCGCACGCAGCTGCCATTGCGTCCGTCTGTTCCTCATTTGCTTTTGAGAAAGCTGCGGGGGTCGGCATAGCGGGCCGTTGAGTGTGGTGCAGCTGACGCTGAACTGTGTGGGTGCTGGCCTGGGAACGGGGCACCGAGGCACAGGCCCCCCACGCCACCCTTCAGCACTCTCTGCTGCCGTGAGAGGTAAGTGACAATGAGCCTTGTGGTTTTCCGGGCTTGGAGGGGAGCACGGAGAGCAGGGCCTGTGGACAGGGCAGTAATGCCTGAAAGCGTGCCCCCCGGCCCCCCCCCGCTCGCCTGGTATCTGTGCCAGCCGGCCCCGACGTTTCCGGCCCTTCCTCCGTGGGCACTCCGTTCTCTGCGGCCTGACCTTCCCCCGCTGAAGCAGGAGCCCCCTTGGCACACCCACCGGCACCAGCCTCGCTGGCTGGGATGGTCCTTGCCCTGTGCGCTGTCCCGGGGCCCGTCAGAGGTCAGGTCATGGACGACCACCTCTCTCTTAAGAAACTTGCCTGTGGAAACACTTGTTCCGTGTGTACACCCGTGCACGTGGGGGCGGGGGGGCTGGATCACCAGCGTGTGGCTCACGGAGTTATCACAAGGCGAACACAGCTGTGGAACCAGAGGACCCGTCCCTGCCACCCGCCCCCGCCCGCCACCACCACCAGGGATGGTGCACGTCTTGGCTCTGTGTACAGGCTTTTCCCTGTGGAAATGTTCCCAAATGGGCTTCTCCACGGGCTTTCCCATGTCGCCCGAGCGCTGCCTTCACAAATGTCCTTGTTGGTGTTTTGGCGCATGTCGTGGCCCCGGCTGTTGCCACATCCAGGGGCGAGGCCGCCGGGTTGCAGGCATGTTTCGAGCTTGGCTTTAGTGGGGAGGGTCCATGTGGCGCTGGGGCCTGGCCGGCCTCCTCTGTGTCCTCCCCGCCACCCGGTGGGCATGGATGGCGTGGCCCTTGGTTTTTTCTGGTGTCTCCTTGACGTCCGCTGAGGCCCATAGCCTTTTGTCTATTTCTCGGCCTTCTGACGATCTGGTTTGGTGAAGCACGTGTTTAGGTTTCTCATTGGAGCTACTCGTGCGTTCTGGTTACACGTCCTCCGTGGGTACGTGGGCTGCACGCGTTTACTCCCTTTTCTTCCTCAAGGGGCCGTGACGAGCAGCCCCTCCCAGTGCTTGTGCAGGCCCGTCCCCTGCCCTCCCTGGTGTGTGGGGTTGTCTTGAACTTCGTTCCCCAGGTCAGGAAGGCGTCTTCCCGCTCCCTGTTGCCTCTCTCCACCTGTATGTCAGTAGTCTGTCTGGAGGCCGCGTTTACGAATTCACCTGCTCTGCGGGCCGTGCACGGTGGCCCGGGAGCAGTCCCCCCGTGGCCACGGCGCCCCCGGGAGCTGGGCCCTGCACAGGGGTCGCCGCTGGCACTACCTGGAGCCCTCTCCCGCCTCCGCCCACTCGGGGGTCTCCCCACGGGGCTCGGGTGACGTCAGGTGGTGCGGGACACAGAGCCCGTGCTCAGGAAGTGGCAGGCTGGCTGGCTGTCACCTCCTCTCACTGTGCTTCCCCGGAGAGGCCCTAGAGGGGGCGGGGAGAACGTGAGGGACGGTCCCCATGGAAGTGCTTGTGTGATGGCGTAGTGTTCGCACAGCTCTTGCGTGCTGGCCGTCGCCGTCCATCCTGTCCCTTTTCAAAGGGACGAAGTATCTGCTCTCCCAGTTCAGAAGGACACGCGCGCCTTTCCTCCTAAAATCCCGCCGCCGCGATGCGTGTGGTGACCGCCAGCGTGTGTGGCTTCCACGTGCCAGAGCCCGGCGGCACTCGCACCCGCTCACTTAATCCTTGCGGCAGCCGTGGGAGGGGCCCGGATTGCCCCACGCTGAAAGGTCAGGCGGAAGGACCCGCGTTGGAGCCCGTGCTCTGGAAGTAAACCCCAAGCATCGGGAAAGCCCGGAGAGTGGCCCAGCCGACCGGAACCAAGGGGGTGCGGCCATCTCTTCATTGACGATGAACGAGTGCCTCCTGCGTGGCAGGCACTGTCCCAGGGGTGGGGGACAGGTGAATGCGAGGTGGCTGGCCGTGTGTGAACAACGTTCCAGATGGAACCCGGAACCTACGGCCAGAGAGTTAATTCAAGGGCGGCACCGGCGTGGGGCGGCGGAGGGTACAGGTGACGTGGCTGGTGTCCGCGACAGGGCGGTTCCGGTGCCCAGAAGCCCCTTGACACAGAGGACAGGCTGAGGAGGATTCCCGTGGCTTGGGCCCTGCCCCCGCGGGGCATCTCTTCACCTCTCCTGTCCCCTCCACCCAGAAAGCCCAGCGCCCCTGGCCCCTCGGCTCCTTGCTTTAACATCAGCCCCCAGCAGGCGTCCCACACCCCCTGGCCCGCTGTTGTGAGCTCGTGGTCTGTATCTACGCGTTGCTGGTTTCTCATCTGCCCTCTGCATGGGCCAGGGGTTCCAGGAAGGAAGACACCAGCCTCACACGTGTGCCGGGAGCCCCACGGATGGTAGGCTCGGCCTGAATGCACCAGTGGATGCCGGGAGCCCTGAGGCTTGCTGCTGGAGCATGCGGTTCGTGCAGAGCTCCATCCTGGTGCCCGCCCTCAGCCCAGCTCCAGGGCCCCCTTCCTCACCCCTCCCCACCTCTGAGCGACACCTGCTTTTCCTGCATTTCTTCTGCAAGGCTTCCCTTGGTAGCACTGTTTGCTCTGTACTGACTGTTTTCTAGAGCAGTTTTAGGTTCACAGCAAAATTGACAGGGCTCCCTTACACCTGCTGCTCTTGGATATGCATAGACCCCATGCCATTATCCCTCTCCCACTGGGTGGTGCCTCTTACGCGAACCTGCACTGACACGTCATCGTCGCCCACAGTTTACGTCAGACCCACTCTCGGTGGTGCGCATTCCGTGGGTTGGACAAATGTGTAATGTCACGCAGCTCCCGCTACGGTGTCTTACAGGGTGGTTGGCGCTAACGGTTTTCTGTGCTCTGTTTATCCCTCCCTCCCTTCTCAGCCCCTGGCAACCCCTGACCTTGCTGTTGCCTCCATGGTCCCGCCTTTTCCGGGACGTTGCACAGATAGAATCGTACAGGGTGCAGCCTTTTCAGATTGGCTGCTGTCACGTAGTGAGATGCACCCTTGAGCCCTCCGATGTCTGCGTGACAGCCCCGCTCCTTCTTAGCACCAAATACCATCCCGTCGTCTGGACGCACCGTTGTTTGCCCGTCACCTCCGAAGAGGCACCTTGGTTGCTTCAGGTCTGGCAGTTATGAATAAAGCTGCCGGAAGCATCAGCCATAGGGTTGTGGGTGGGCGTGAGCGTTCACCTCCTCTGGGTAGACATAAGGAGCACGACGCTGGAGTGCATTATGGTCAAGCTTCAGTTTTATGAAACCGGCAAACCTTCCTCATGACTGCCTCTCTGCTTTCCTTGGCAGTGAGGGAGATCCCCTCAGTTTTTTGTCACAAGAAAGATGATTTCCCCAGGGTGTGAACATCTGGGCTGCTGGGCTTTATCTCTCAACCTCTTAAATATTCACTGCACCGTCTTCCCGTCACATGGTATCTGGGGAGACACGGGAGAATAGATTCTTTGCTCCTTAATTCGGTAAGGTGTTTTTTTTTTCTTCTCTGGCTTCTTTTCAGAACTTTCTTGATCTCCTGCAGTCTGAATGCGACGGGCCCTAGTTGAGATGTGTGGCCTGCAGCCTTTGCTATGCTCTCGCTGAGAGACTGACTGAGCCCCTAGGCACTGCTCCCAGCAGCACAGACTGTTCTGGAAAGGAAGCTGGCCCTGGCTCTAGCAGATGCTGCAGTGTCTCCCTCTCTGATGCACAGAAGCAGAGGTTGTGTGGCTTTGGACCTTCTCACTGGCTCTTGTTGGATCTGGAAGTGCTTCCCCCGATGAAAGGACTGTGAGAAAGGAGTGGGCGTCTTGGCCGGGAGGGGCAGAGTGCCCGCAGCTATGCAGAGCCTGGTAGGTGGGAGAAGCTGGCGCACAGAGTCAGGCAGTGAGTGCTCCCTAGAGGCTGAGGCGGGAGCCCCAGGGCTCCCTGCTCGAGGGTGGCGGGCTGGGGTGCCAGTCTGGCAGCTGCTGAGTGAGCAAATGCCCGCAGACACACTTGCAGTCTGGGGCCGACCAGCCCAGTGTGGACAAAAGCACAACCACAGAACAGATAAAATGATGTTTTAAGTAGAGATCACGAGGCTTCAGGGTAGTTTGTTACTCAGGAAGCTGATGGGGCCCCGGCTGAGGACCTGTTCCATCCCGTCTGCAGGGGTCTGTGCCTCTGTGGCTGAGCAGAGGGGTGGGCCGAGCTATTCTTCATGCGGTGAGTCCCCCGCGCAGACCTGGTGTGAGTGTGCCTGAATGGGTACCTGTGGGCTCGACAGGTAAATTCTGTACCCCAGGGCTTGCGACTTCTCAGGTGGTATTCCCTTGCCGGCCCGACCGGACAGCGAGTTGAGATGGAGAAGTCAGCAGATCTCCCAGACACCGCATCGGGCAGGCAGTGAGAAGTGGGTGGATGGCCGGGTCACAGCCCGCCCCGTGGCTGAGGTGCAGGGAGGCCCATGCCTTGGCAGTGCACGGTGGGACTGGCCGTCTGGCTTGAGACCGTCCTGCCTGCCCTGGGGCTGGCCCCCCTGTGCCATGTGCTGCTCCCTCACCCCATGCCTCACCCCTACCCCACCCCACCCCCCACTGGGCTTGGGCTCTGGATCAGGAGGGAGGGAGAACAGGGGAACCGCCGAGTAGCAGAGTGCCGCGGGGTGTGAGTCCCTCTCGGCTGGCGTCAGGGCGCCATGGCACTGGAGTCACCCTGCCACGGT